GAGTTGCTTGGCCCTCTTTTGTCTTGTCCTGGGGGAACTGGAGCTCAGGGAACTGTAAGACAGTGCTGGTACTCTGGCTGCTGCTACTGCTGTCCTAAACTCCTGTGTCTCTGAGAAGTGCTATGTCTTCTGCTAGCATCCACGAAACTGAGGTCAGTTAAGTTGTCAGCTTCCAAACAGGGTAAGAGCTCAGATACTTCCCAGTTCTTTTTTTTTTTTTAAGATTTTATTTATTTATTTGACAGAGATCACAAGTAGACAGAGAAGCAGGCAGAGAGAGAGGGGAAAACGGGCTCCCCGCCGAGCAGAGAGCCCGATGCGGGGCTCGATTCCAGGACCCTGAGATCATGACCTGAGCCGAAGGCAGAGCTTAACCCACTGAGGACCCAGGCGCCCCATATTCTTCCCAGTTCTTGACAAGATGTATGTGTTTCTTTAACACAGTGAATTCTATTTCTTAGAACTTATCTTAAAGGAAACAATAGAAATAAGACTAACTCAGCCATTAATCTTTTTAATATGCTGCTGGATTCAATTTATTAGTACAGTTGACCCTCGAACAATACAGGTTTGAACCACACAGGCCCACTTATATGTGGATTTTTTTGGGGTGGGTATAGTACAGTACTGTACATGTATTCTCAGGATGATTTTTTAATATTTTATTTTCTCTAGCTTACTTTAAGAATATAGTATAACATAAAAATATGTATTTGTCAACTGTTTGTATTGTTGGTAAGGCTTCTGTTAACAGTAGGCTATAAGGTCTGAGGAGTCAATGGTTATACGTGGATTTCTGACTGTGTAGGGAGTCGGCGCCCCTACCTAACCCTTGCATTGTTCAAGGGTCAACTGTACTTTGTTGAGGATGTTTGCATCAATATTCACAAAGGGTGGTGCTCCACAGTTTTGTTTTCTTGCAATGTCTTTATCTGGCTTTGATGTTAATACAATATTGGCCTCAATGAGTTAAGAAGTGCTCCCTCCTCTTCAATTTTTTGGAAGAATTTGAGAAGGATTGGTGTTTTTTCTTTTATTTATTTTTTAAAAGTTTGTTTATTCATTTATTTAGTAATCTCTACACCCAGCATGGGGCTGGAACTCATGACCCTGAGATCAGAAGCTGCAAGGTCTTCTGACTGAGCCAGCTGGGTACCCAGGTGTTAGCGTTTCTTTAAATGTTTGATGGAATTCACCAGTGAAGTCACCAGGTCCAGTGCTTTCCTTTGTCAGGAGGGTTTTGATTACTCATGAACTCTCCTCACTCGTTACGGTCTATTTGATTTATTATTTCTTCATGATTCAGTCTTGGTAGTTTTGTGTTTCTAGGAATTTGTAAGTTTCGCCCAGGTTGCCCAAGGTGTTGGCAGACAATTGTGTTGATTTGCAAACATGGGAGTTCTCCAGGTGAAATGTGAAACTGGCCCCATACATGGAGGGCAAGGAGAGACTGAAGAAAGATGCAGACCTCTTCAGATCGGTAGATAGCAGTTGTAATAAGCAAGGCTGCTTACCTACGAGGCTTGTCTCGAGTGACCACAGGACAAGTAGATCTCTGCACTTGCCTACCAGAATTTTCAGAGTTCATATAGAGGGGTGCCTGGATGGCTCAGTGGGTTAAGCCTCTGCCTTCAGCTCAGGTCATGATTTCAGGGTCCTGGGATCGAGCCCCACATTGGGGTCTCTGCTCACCAGGGAGCCTGCTTCCCCCTCCTTATGATCTCTCTCTCTCTCTCTCTCTCTCTCTGTGTCAAATAAATAAATAAATATTAAAAAAAAAAGAGTTCATATAGAAATCTTAATGGGGTTCAGTCACATATACTGCCCAGATGGTCTTAACAATACGTTACTCTCTCAAGCTGTGTCCTTGAAGTAGCTCCCAGTGTAGTAACAGTGGGCAGAATGTACATTCCAAGGAGCGGGGGCAGTGTGGGAGGAAAGGAGTCTGATTGCCTGGGCGCAGCTCATGGGTCAACTAGCAGTCACATGCTCTTGGTGACCTCCTCTAATAAATTGTTCATAGTACTCTTACAAGCCTTTTTGTTTCTGTAGTCTCAGTAGTGATGTCCCCACTTTCATTTCGGATTTGAGTAATTTGAGTCTTCCCTTTTTTTCTCAGTCAGGCTAAAGGTTTGTCAGTTTTGTTGGTGTTTTTGAAGAACCAACATTTGGTTTCATTGCTCTTCTCTATTATTTCTCTATTCTCTATTTTATTCCTCTCTGCTCTGATCTTTATTATTTCTTCTCCACTGTTACCTTGAGTTTAGTTTGCTCTTCTTTTCCTAATTCCTTAAGATGTAAAATTCGGTTGTTGACTTGAAATCCTTCTTCTTTAATTTTTTTAAGTAAACACTTAAGCCCAGTGTGGAACTTGAATTCATGAGCCCAAGATCAAGAATCACCTGCTTTACAAACTGAGCCAGCCAGGCGCCCACCTTCTTCTTTATTAATATAAGTGTTTACAGCCTTACAGTCCCCTCTCACACTGTTTTCATTGTTTCCTGCCAGTTTGGGTATGTTTTGCTTTTGTTTCCATTTGTCCCGAGACATTTTCTAATTTCCTTTGTGATTTTTTTAAATCCATTTAGTTGTTCAAGAATGTGTGGTGTAATTTTCACATATTTTTGAATTTTCCTTCCGCTGCTTATTTCGAATTTCATAACATTGTGATTGAGAAAGATACTTCGTATGATTTCAATCTTAAACTGTATCACGACTTGTTTTGTGGCCTAACATGTAGTCTATCCTGGAGATTGTCTTTGCCTTTTTTCCCATCAGGCACACTGCTTAGCACCATTCTTCCCTGGTACTCCAGATTCTTAGCAATAAAACCACGGGCTGGCAGGAAAGCTGTCTGCCGAGCTGGAGAGCCCCTGGAAAGCCTCAAACCCAGGCACCTCTCATCTTAGAGGTGAGAAAACTGAGGCTCAAGGGATCAAAAGCCTTCTCCCAAGGGCCACAGGCCCTGTACACTGAACCACTGCACTTCCCTTCTGTGGTATCAGCAATGATCACACTGTAACAAAAACTTCCTCCCTAGGTTCAGTCAACAAATGTGTGCTGAGCATCCAAATATTCCAGGTATAGTTAAACCCTCAAATGACTCCATGTGTGGGGGGCCCATCTACTCTGAGGCAGACCTGGACATTTTGATTTTAGGCAGTGACAGATGTGGATAATCAAATCCTTTCTGGTGTATTAGTGCCTATTTCATAAATGCACCAACTTGTTATCTAAGCTGGCTTCTGTATTAGGTTGACTACCCACTCCTTTTAGAAACTACAGGCACAAAGGTTGTGGACACTGACGGCCAGACAGAAAAGCTCACTGCATCTGCAGGGCTGGATTCTATGAAAAGTACAAAGGGGGCTTTTACATAAAGCAGAAAGCCTGCAGCTCAGAGAGGCTGAGGGGGTTAACACAGAGTCCAGCCAGGCAGTTCTGACCAGTTTTTTCACCCCACATGGCTGTTCAAGAGCATTGGTTCATGCAACTCAGCTGTTGGGCCAGGGAAGGAATGAGCTGCCTTCTCTGATCGGGCACAGTAAGGGCAGAACCAGAGCACCCCACTTTCGCCTCCAATGCTGTGGCTGACTGTGGAGGTTTGAGACTTCACAGTTGGGACAGTTAGAAAAAAAATTATTTATTTGAAAGAGTGACAGAGAGAGCAAGCGGGGGGAAGGGCAGAGGGACAGGGAGAGAGAGAATCTCAAGCAAATTCTCTGCTAAGCACGGAGCCCCGATGACGTGGGGCTGGATCTCACAACCTTGAGATCATGACCTGAGCCAAAACCAAGAGTCAGTCACTCAACCGACTGAGTCACCCAGGTGCCCTCCCCACAGGGGGACTTCTGCTCTGTGATGGAAGGAACAGAGCCCACATAGGTTCCCTGGCCCATCTAGTCTGTCTCTCACCACTGTCCTGTGACATAAAGCAGAAGAGGGGATATGGTCCCACTTTACAGATGTGTAAGCAGAGGGACAGAGAGGTGAGCAAGCTGCTACTTTAGTGAGGCAGGTGGTGATAATCAGAGAAGCAGAACCAGCAGGGGACACAGATATATTTACATATACAGGAGATACATATGTGTATTACATACATATATATGTATATATATAAAGATACAAAGAGATTGAGTGCAAGGAATTGCCCTACATGGTGATGGGGGCTGGTTAGCCAAGCCTCAAGTCCACAGATGGGAGAGGCCACCAGGAGTGGCAGGCTGACAGTCTGCTTTCTCTATAAATATCACTACATCATACCATGGACTACCATGACCCCCTTTAACACTGCAAACAGAGTCATGAGTGCCCTTAAATGAAATAAATTAGAGAAGAATTCCAGAAAACCTAGCACCAATGCAGAAAACTCATCCTGAGGATTCTGTTCTGGGACCAGAATCTCTATCAGCCAGGGTCCAACTAGAGAATCAGAAACAGTAGGATCTATGTTAAGAGATTTATTGCAAGGCATTGATTTAAGTGATTGTGGGGGCTGGAGAGACAAGTCTGCAATCTGTAGGGCAGGCGGATAGGAAGGGCAAATGAGATCTCTCAGGCAGGTGGGGTGGGGAAGCTGCTGTCCACAAGCAGAATTTCTTCTTCATAGGGGAAGCCTCAGCTCTCCTCCTGAGGGCCTTTTGACTGACTAAATCAGGCCTACCTGGATTATCTAGAATAATCTCACTTGCTTAGTTAACTGGTTATGGACTTTAATCATATCTACAAAATACCTCCATAGCAACACCCAGATTAGCGTCTGATTGAATACCTGGGGACACCAGTCTAGCCATGCTGACACATCCGATGACCATCTCCCCTGTCCACAGCCACCCAGCAGCTCAATGACTCTGGATCAGCCTCAGCTTCCCCTGTTTGCACATATGTTCCCACCCTTACCCACAGGTTGCCGACGGTCTAAACAGAGGCGGAGAAGAACCTCAGGACTGGGACATCCCATGTGTCTTACTACAAATCCACCTCCACCATCAGTGCCTGGGTTTTTTTCTTTAATGGAGGTAAAATTCACATGACATAGATTCAGCCATTTTAAAGTATACAATTCAGCGGCATTTCACGTGGGCACATTCACGGTGTTGTGCAACCGTCACTTCTGCATGGGCCCAAAACATTTCATCAGCCAGGAAGGAAACGTTGTACCCACTGGGCAGTTACTCTTCAATCGGCCCTCCCCGCCTGGAGCTTTTTTTTTTTTTATTTATTTGACAGAGAGAGATCACAAGCAGGCAGAGAGGCAGGCAGAGAGAGGAGGAAGCAGGCTCTCCGCTGAGCAGAGAGCCTGATGCGGGGCTTGATCCCAGGACCCTGGGATCATGACCTGAGCCGAAGGCAGAGGCTTTAACCCACTGAGCCACCCAGGTGCCCCCGCCTGGAGCATTTTAAAACCAATGTGGACAGCAGTGTTCCCAGGACATCATAAGGGAGAACTTGGACTTTCTAAAGCCTGCTGTACTCGCTGAGCTGCCAGGGGCAGAGGTGCTCTCCTTGGCAGCCAGGGGCTAAAATCCAGCTACTCCTTCACGATATTGGGGCTATAGTTGGGTTTGACAGCTTCGGCAAGCTCCCGAGCATACATCTCGTATCTGCCAGTCATCTAAAAAGCAAAACACAGGCAGAGTCCCATTTTATAAACGCCCTTCATTTACTCACCACCACTTCTTGCCACTAGAGGGCAGCCACAGGACAGAAATTTGCCAGGAAGGCCAGCAGGAGGACAGGATGGTTTCAGACAGTAAGGTAGGACATGACCCCTGTGTGACCGCTCACCACTGATTCTAGGGCTATAGCAAAGATCACAGATACTGAGATGACTCATACATGCTGGCCCCTCTTGCTGGAAGACCTCTGTGACCTGTCCATCCAGAAGGCATGGCCTGCCCAGAGGTAGAAGGAAAGAAGGCTGCCCTCTTACAGAACCCCAGAATAGCCTACAGCCCAGAGAGGGGAGTGACTTGCCCCGGGTCCCCAGGCAGCCATGGAGTTTGCTGGGATTTGCACTCTGGTGTCCTGGCCCTGAGTCTGGGAGAGGTGGGGGCAGGGCTGGAAAACCTACCCAGGGTGTTCACACCTAGGCATTCCCTCCCTCCTTCTCAAAACCCCGACAGGAGCTCAGGCCCACCACCATAGTCTGGGGGGCGCTTTGGGCATTCAAAAAGTTACTACTGAGCAAACATTCTGTTTATTGCGTGGAATCCTGCATTAATCTGAGCTTCCCAGATAGAAGAGAGACAGGCCAGGAGACATGCATGTGGGCGATGCCTTATTTGTCTGATGAGGATCTGAGACCCAGGGAACATGCCCTAAGACCCGTGCTCAGGTAAACGGGGGAGGTGGTTCCACCCAGACATGCTGGGCAAGGTCCTATAGTCATGAGGACATTCAACTGCATGTATAAGTAGGTTCTGAGTCGGTCGAAATACTGCTGGACACAAATGCAGCAAACTCCATCTGGCTGAGGATGAGGGGATCTACTGCTGGGCCTCTGCCCCATTCCAGGGGGTGGGCACTTATGCTCCTCCATGACCCTGGTGTCATATGTGTTAGGTTTCAAAGGCCACTTGAGACCTTCCAGTTTTACAAACAGGGATCCGAAGGCCCAGGAGCAGAAAGGGCTTGCTTAGGGTAACTGAGAAAGGCAGTGGCAGAGCCAGGCCTAGATTCCATTTCTCTGCATGACCCATTTCCCTCTACTGTCAAGGTCTAGACCGCCAGGCCACAGGCAGAGCCAGACACCCACATGTATCTTGGGATAAGTGCAAATGCCTGGAAAGGGAAAAAAGGATTAGTAGAGGCCACTCCACTCTATTCTCCGGACAAATGAAATTGAGATTAATTTGTTTGAAGGCGCCCAGAATCCAAATCAGACAAGAGGAGAATTTATTGAGGTCTGCTGCCTGGCCATCATCTGACCCAGTGGCTCCTCCCTTGTGCACCAGCTCTGGGAGGAAGATACCCGGCCCCTCTGCTTGCCTTGGAGCCTCCTCTGGGGGCTCCAGAGAGCAAACCCAGCAGCTGCAGTTTCCAGCTCTGAGAGCAGGCTGGGGGGTGGGGGTGGGGGCCGCAAATGGAGGAGCAGGCCAACAACAGGGGACTCAGGGACCCACCTTGAAGTTCCAGATGTCATTCACCTGCCGGCAGAGGTTCAGGTCGAGCTCTGCAACCAGCAGCCCGTCCCGATTGCGGGAGAGCCCAGGGGTGCGGCTGCCATCCGGGGCTGCCACATAGCTCGAGCCGTAAAAGTAGCCGAAGTTCCGGTGAGCTTTGGAGGAGTGAAATAAAGCACCTGTGAGCTTGTGGGTGCAGACAGCGGGGTAGGCATATGGAGCGACATCCAGGACGTGTCCATTCTGCTCCTCCCCACCCTCCCCAGCATCCCCGTGCCACCTCCCCAGAGGCCCTGCCTCCCTCCTCAGGCCTGAGGCTGAGCAGGTTTCTATAAAAGTCACCCTCACAGCCTTCACCTCCGCCCTGGGAACATTTTTTTTTTAAGATTTTTTTTTTTAATTTATTTGACAGAGAGAGAGAGACAGTGAGAGAGGGAACACGAACACGGGGAGTGGGGGAGAGAGAAGCAGGCTTCTGGATGAGCAGGTACCCGATGCGGGGCTCAATCCCAGGACCCTGGGATCATGACCTGAGCTGAAGGCAGACATTTAACCAACTGAGCCACCCAGATGCCCCTCCTGGGAACATTCTTAAGGGTCACCCTTGCAGAAATGTTAGCCCTTACTCCCGTTAGCTACCCAGAGGCCAAGGGAGTCATATGGCTCTGCATGGCTTCCTGTGTGACCTGTTCCTATGTGGGCCCCACACAGCGAGCCAGAGGCTCCATCCCCACTTGCCTTCCCAGCTGCGTCCACCGTACTTCCTTCCACAAGTCAAGCGGTGCTAACAGCTACCCCACAAGCGTGTAAGGAGCAGGTAGGCACGGAGCTGGGCCTAGCAGGGGCTTGGATCCAGCAGGCACCCCAGGGACCTCGCTTCCCTGCCTCACTGTACCTCTCTCTGCAGGGAGCTAACTGGGATTGGAGACTCTGGACATGTGGGGCCTTAATCTCGAACCTAGACCTGGAACCCTTTCGGGAAGTGCTTTTCTGGGAGACAGACCTGCTCAGTCCTCTCTGCCTTTCCAGGGGACACCCTAACTAGTTCCGAGATCTCCTGGGTGAGCCCTTCCCTTCCACATTCCAAGCCAGAGAGGTGGGACCAGTCTGTGGGGTAGACCCTGCCCAGAGAGGGCAGACGGAGAAGGGGACAGTGAGGCCCACCTCTCAGCTGCCGCCAACCACGGAAAATCCTGGAACATACCTTTCTTCCCATCTCCTGAGGTAAACTCGTTCGGGAATTGCTCCTATGAAACAAAATCTAGATCAGGTAAGCCTATAGGTGGCACTCCCAGCGCGGGCCACCGCGAACTCAGGGAAGCAACAGTTATAGCAAGAGAAGGAATGGCCTGTACTCGCTGGGCAATCAACAAGTACTTATGAAATGTCCCCGCTGAGTCGCCAGCACTGGGCCAACACAGTGGGCCAGCAGGGAATTTGACAGGCAAGATAAAAAGCCTGACTTTGTCCCTGGGGAGTTTATAATCCACTGGGAGGGAAAAAAAAAAAGACATCCAGCAGAGTGGTTCTCAGGCCTGTGGAAGACAGTTGAGGTTTGTCTGTCTGGGAAAGAAAGCCCCAGCTTGGGGTCTCAGAGGGGACTAATGGGGTGTTCATACACCGTTGCCAGTATTTCCCCAAAGCCTCATGGAAACAGCACCTCAAGCCATGATGGGGTTACACAGGCTAATGAGAACACTAATGAGTTTCTCCATGTTGCCAGAAATTGGACCCACTTACTGTAGGAACCTTGATCACCTCAGCCTCAGCAGATCCTCTGATCAAAGTCTGACATCCAACTAATATGAATGAGGAAGAGGATTATTATGTAATGAATGCATTGTGTTTCGTAGTCAAGTTCACTCAGGTCCCTGGGTCAATGGGGAAAATTATGAAACAGGAGACTTGGGGGTTGACAGGGTGAGAGCCTTTCAACATGGTTTCAGCTACAAACCCAAATAGATAAAAACATGAAAGGGACATAGGAATACCTTTAAAAGGAACAAACCAAGCCAGTCTCCCCTCTTCCAGGACCCTAGAATTTGTGGCACAGGGACAGGCAGAAGATGTGTGAGGGACAAGCGGAAGAGGTGTAAGGTCAGCAGACAGTTGCTTCCCTTGTGGCCTTTGCTGGTGGAAGAGGCCAGGCCCCCCTGGGCAAGCAGCTTTCCTAGCAGCTCTGTCCCCCACTCCTTCCACAGCATACCTGGTTGACCAAGCCCTGGAGCCCAGCCAGACCGTGGGAACTTACCTCGCCCACGCGGTTGATGGCACAGGTGAAGCAGTGATTCGCGATGGCTGCGTTTCTGGCCTCAACGGGCCACAGGGATTCACTGTGAGGAAGAAGCAAGAGGAACCAGGTGGCTGACTTCCCTGCCAGATGGGGTGGGTGCTTGGTCCCCAGCTACAGCCAAGGCTGCCGGCCTTCTCAGGTCTGTGGCAGGGATGGCCCGGGAGACTGGTGTGGCTGTGGGTGTCCCTACATCCCCCAGCAGGCCAGCTTGTCCTGTGCTCAAGCCCAAGCAGCCTTTTGGGGTGGGCCTGCTGCAGGCTAAAGCAGCCCTGAGCCACAGTTTTCTTTTCTGAAACTTTCTGAAAGGGCTATTGTAAGGACTGACCATACAGGTGAAGAAGCTTCTAGTAGGGTATGCATGGCAGAAACTCTGTAACAGCTAGTTCTCCCTCCTTCCCTCCTCCTCGGTCGGGGGAGGAACTTACCTTCTAGGCTAGGCAGGGCCTCACCTGGCAAACATTAGAAGGGAGCTGGGAGCCTCAGGGCTCATCCACCACCCTCTGAGGACTCCAACTTCTGCCCTAATCCCTACCCTGCTCTGTGGCCTTACAAAGCAGTCTCCAGAGGGAGAGATTTCAGGCCAAGCAAACAGAGGAAACCTGAAAGGAAGGTAACTGGAAGGGGTAGTAAATTCTGTAGCAGGTGTGCCTTCCCCTGAGCTGGTCTCCATTTTCTAGCACCTTCTGATTTTCCTCTTCTGAACCCTGAGACTCTAAACAGAGGCTCCCTGGCGCTCTTACCGGCCCAGGAAGGAGCGTGGGCCTTCCTCAGTTCGGCGCCCACAAAGATAGGACATGGTAGGAAACCTTGCCCCAACTGAAGACCCCGTCCTTCTCCGGCCCACCAACTACCATGTGCCATGGAGTCCCATGGGCCTTCTTGCCACTAATGATCTCTTGTCTGAGGAACAACATCATTAGGATTCTGGATTGACAGGCGTAATGCCCACTTAGAAACACTAAGTGACTGAAAGCAAAATGCCCTGGCATCTTTCTTCCTGTCAGTGTGCACCTGGTTTAAACTGGGAGTAGGTGGAGGGAGTGGGTGCTTGACAAGCCTAATTCTCAGGAGGATTCACAAGTCTGAAAAAAAAAAAAATCACAGGCTTGATTGAGGGGACTCATTTTGCTGCTTTTTTCCCCCAGCTGCTAAGCCAAGCTGACAAAACTTTTAAGAAAGGATTTTTATAGAAACACACCCGTAAAATGACATTTTCAGGAATTAAATAGACAGCTTTCTTGCAATTCTCCTGGGAGGATACGCTGCGTAGGACTCAAACCCACAGCTGGCAAATAAAACTCAGGCTCTCCAAACAAACAAGGGAAAGGGAAAGGTGAGGGCCCAGCATGTGCAGGAGTCATGGCAAGCACACTGGGGGCAAGGGGACATCTCCCCTATTCCCAGTGTGGTTACACTAGCCCCAAAAATAATCACAGTGGGAAGGAGACACCTATCGAAGGGATGGAACCATAGCTCTCCCGTTCATGCATGTAGGTGGCAGAAATCTTCGATCCCATGGGCTGCATGGCACCGTCAGGACGACTCAGTCCATCGAAATGCACTTCAAGTCTGTTGTGTGCTTACAACTGTGGGACTCCCAAAATGAGTAGGGACACCCCACCAACCCACAGAGCATGTGGGAGTCGGGGGGACAGGACACACCGGAGAAGGGATGGATGGTTCCAGTAGCCACTGCCTGTGTACGGCTGGTGGGGATTTGCCTAGACTTGTGCTGAAAAACACTCACTATCAATTCTGTAAATAATCATTTATCATTTTAGGAAAATCACCTAGAATCCCACCATCCTAACAAACCATCTGTTGTAATGTTTCCACACTCCACATCCACCCTCGGCAAAAAGATGTTTACAGAGCTCTGACCACAGCCTGGAAATATCTTTCTTTGCTCACAGGCTTTTGTCATGAGGCTGCATTATCTTCGTAATGACTTTTGAGTAGCTATGCCCTAAAATGGAAGAGACAAGCTGAAATTTACCTAACCCTGACATTTCTCTCGCCTTAAGCTCTTTTATTATTATAAACAAAGCAGCCAGAAACATCTTCATGCATACAGCCTTTTCCTCCTCTGTCAGGTAAAGTTTTAGGAGTGTAATTATCCGGTTAAAGGGTGTGAACATTTTGGGAGCTCATGAAACATCCCACTTTCCAAAGGACCTGTTATCCTCTTAATTGCCGGCCTCGCTGCACCCTTGAAAGGCACGAGTTGGCTGATTGTTGGTTGAGGAAGGAAAATCAATAATTTCTAATAAGCCTAACTGGCTGCTGAAGATGCAGTTATGTGCAGATTACACTGGGGTGCTTTGTTTGCTTAATTGGGGCTAATAAAAGCCCGACAGACTAAGGTCAGGGAGGCACCCGTCTGGAGTCTGAGTCTACCACTTTGCCTGCCCTGGCTCAAGAGCTGCTTCAGGCAGAGATGCTTAGTGCATCGGCTTCAAGTTCCCCGGGGGACCCTCGCAGGTAGATGGTGCTTGCTGAATGTCTTATGCTTGGCCAACAGGAGGAGGCTGCTCCAGAGGGCTGGCCCGGGGGAGGTTCTGCCCAGGTCCGGATGCAGGATGACCAGTCATGACCCTACGTCACAACTGCCTTTGGACTCTGTCATGGTAACCAAGCTGCCGTGAGGCCCCAGGAAGTTTCTTCAGGGGTATGGAAGGTGGGATTTTTTTCCCCTTCTGCCCAACAGTGCCCCTCCTGGACATAGACAAAAACTTCAGGTGCACAGAGGGGGCCGCTGACCTGAGGTAGCCCACTAGGTTTGTGTTCTGGCCCACTGAGGGACCCACTGTTCAAATCAGAATGTGGTGGGGACGTCGCTCAAGAAGGGGGCAGCGTGCTTAAAAGAAAAGGTAAATGTCACATTCTGACCTTCAGAAGAAATTTGACGGGAATTTAATCAAAGAGTGACAGGTGTAGGCCGGCCGGAAACTCAAAGCTGCCCACCAGAACCGTCCCAGCTGCTACCCACAGAGGGACTGGGGGCCCTCTCCCACTGCACTCCACCAGCATCCCATTGCTAGGGCACTGGCAACCAGGGACAACGAGGGTGAGAGCCAGCACCTCCTCATCCAGGAATCCTGCTTTGGAGGAAGTGAGTTGGGGAGAAAGATATTTGCACATAAACTCCTAGAGCTCTGGTACTTTTTAGTGATGCAAAACTGGAAACCACCCAAATACTCAGCCATTGGGGAAGAAAGAAGTCCCGGAAGTGCACTCATGCTGGGTCATCTTAGCTCACCCACCATTATTAAATGAAGGGCCCCAGGGGTCTTGCGCAGGAGCCCAGGGACTGCCAGGGCCCTCCCCCCTACTGCCTTCCTCAGAATAGATTTATCTGTTTCACGACAAGGCTAATGCCTAAACACGTTATAAGGGTGTTATAAGAAAACAGTCTGCTAGTTAAAAACAAATTTCAGGGCCACTTGGCTGATCTCTTAAGGACCCTCTCAGCTTTGATTCTCTCACTGGCTCCTTCCCTCGTCCAGGTGTCTGCCCTCCATGGGCTGGATGTCACAGACAAGAGGCTTAGGAATCCCCAGGCCCCCTGTCCAAGGGCATAGTGGCTGCCATGACAGGGAAGTGGGTGCTAATGCTGGCCAGGCACCTTCTAAGCTCTGGGTACTTTACAATCCCATGGCTCAAGATTTGTTAGACGACCTGGTGACCACCCTTGCCTGCCACATCTACCACACCCAGCTCGGAACCCTGCTGCTGGGCCATGAGCCGCAAGAGGGCTAGGTCCCAAGAACCCTCCCCGATACTGCTTGCTGACGGACCTGAGTGCGCCGACGGTGGCTGAGGGGTTGAAGATGATCTCAGCCCCGTTGAGGCTGTACATGAGCCAGTTGAGAGGATGGTGCCGCCCGTAGCAGATGTTCACTGCAATCCTCCCGAATGGAGTCTGGAACACGGGGTGTCCCAGGTTTCCCTCCATGTAGTAAGTGGACTGAAAAACAAAGGGCCGTGAGTGAAAGCCTCTTAGCCTTAAAATTTCTCCTTCCTTAGACCTGACAGAAAAAAAGAAAATATTGCCAGGACTCCAAAAGTCACAATCTTGGCTGTAACTCTAAGTTCCGAAATTTTAATATGTTTAACAAAAAAAGAAAAAAAAAGAAAAAGGAAAGTAAAAAGAAAAACTGAAGAAACCAGACACAGTAACCACAGACAATTGGGAAATCACCACGGCTTAAGATTTTTCCCACAATTTCTTTGGTGGCGTGTCCAAAAAATCCCCAAAGCAACTTCCCACAGTATTTTCAGGATGAACTTTGGCTAGTTTTTCAGTCATGGTACAACTAATGGTTAAGGTTTGGTCAGTGTTAACATGAGTTAGTGGATGTCTTCACCAACCACATGTTCGTCTGAAGAATGTCAGAGTGGAAGGGACTGGAAACTCATCCAGAGCGAGCCCCGCCCGTTGGGGGAGAACACCACCACGGCCTCAGTGGCCATGTGACTCATCCAGATCATGAAGGCCAATCTGAGACTAGAGCTCACAGCCTGAAAGTGTTCTCCACAGAGATTCTTGGCATCCTGGCCGGGATTAGGGATGTCCTACCATGTCTGCCTCTCTGCCTGGCCCCTTGGGGTGCTGGCCCTGAGACATGTTCGAGGACGGCCCTGTGGAGGGGCCAGAGGGCTCATTGGGGGTCCCAAAGAGATCTGCTCCCAGAACATTCTGCCTCCTCCCATTAACTTCAAAATGTGTTAGGGTCAGGCAGCAACCAGGATGTGTACATGTGGTGGACACTAGAGTAGATCCTGGTGTGTTGAGACAAGCCCTTCACTATCTGCTGGGAGCTAAAGATTAATCCTAGGGTAAACAGGTGACAAGCACATCTTCCCATCCCCACCTCCAGCTATCACTGAGAGACACCAGGGTTTTTTTTTTTTCTCCCCAGGGAACATCATCCAGCTCTGTAGATCCTTCCTTGTCCTTCTGACCAGACTGGGAGTGTGGTTGGAACCCCCATAATCAGGGAGGGCAGCAAAGGACTGGGTATGTCACATTCTGAACAACTGTATTTATTGCAGATCAAGTTCAGGTTTCATATCTTACGTATTAGGTGGAGTCACCCAATCCACCCATGCATTGCCATTAGCTAATCAGAATAGCTCTCCTGACTTACGCCTTCATCACGGGCACAGAGCTTTACCTAATACCCATGTGCACAGGCACGCCCATTTACGTCCTGCCATCCGGCCTAATGACATGGCTAAGACCTCACATGACTTACGAACAAGGATTCCACTTCCCAAAGGAGGAGCTCAGAGCCTGAAAGGGGCCATAGGAATCATTTCATGTGTGTGCACAATTTATTTTGGTTTTAATCTATATATCACTTACCTCAGAATTTCAGAAAGTGAAGTCAGGTTATATTAACAAATATATATATCCAGGGGCACCTGGGTGGCTCAGTCAGTTAAGCATCTGCCTTCACCTCAGGTCATGATCCCAGGGTCCTGAGATCGAGCTCCACATGTAGCTTCCTGCTTAGCAGGGAGCCTGCTTCTCCTTCTGCCTCTGCACCTCCCCCTGCTTGTGTTCTCTCTCTTGCTCGCTCTCACTCTCTCACTCTCAAATAAATACATAAAATCTTAAAAAAAAAAAAAGAGGGATGCCTGGGTGGCTCAGTTGGTGGGGCGTGTGCCTTTGGCTTGGGTCATGATCTCAGGGTCCTGGGATCAAGTCCCGCATCAGGCTCCTTGCTCAGCAGGGAGCCTGCTTTTCCCTCTGCCTGCTGCTTGTACTCTCTCTCTCTGACAAATAAAGTTTTTAAGAAAAGAAAAAAGAAAAAAGAAAAAAAAAGAAATATGCCTCTGTGCTTGGTATCTGGGACTCACCTGGGAGTGACCCAACACAGGATTTCCCTCCCAGAACGATCTGCAGGCAGGTGCAGACAGAACAGCCAGTAAGCTGAGCGGGTTTTCTTCAGGCCAGCTCACCTCATTGAAGTCACCCACTCTGGGGATGTGGTTTTTCCTGGTCTTTCCCAGGACTGCTCCAGAATTGGAGATCACCACAGCTGTGTTCCACAAAACGTCCCCGTGCTCTCTGTCTCGTTCCAGGATGGGAGATACCACCACCATGTCATGCTTCTTTGCCAGCTGGAAAGACAAGGAATGCTGCAGAGTCATTGTTTTAAGTGGAATGTCATCATTTTTTTAAAATTGAAGAATTAGATGATCCTACTAAATAATTCGACTTGGTTCAGAGCTACGGATCATCTATGTTTGCTCTTTGGAAGACTGAACGCCAGCGTTGTCCTGAGGCCCAAGCTGAGCTAAGTAAAAATAACTGCTGTCCTTGGGTCCTTGGTGGAAATGTCAAATGGTGCAGTGGCCGTGGGAAATAGTATGGCAGTTTCTCAAAAAATTAAAAATACAACTACCATAGGATCTAGAAGTCCCGCTTCTAGGTATATATCTGAAAGAGTATCTTGGAGAAGTATCTGCACACCAATGATCACCACAGTCCTCTCCATAAGAGCCAAAGAGTAGAAGCAACCCACAAACCTGCAGATGGATAAATGGATAAATAAAATGTGGCATATCTGGGGTGTCTGGCTGGCTCAGCTGGTAGAGCAGGTAACTCTTGATCTTGGGGTCTCTGCACATGTTGGGTGCAGAGATTACTTAAAATCTTTGAAAAAAATAGAAGGAGGGGTACCTGGGTGGCTCAGTGGGTTAAGCGTCTGCCTTTGGCTCAAGCTGTGGTCCCAAAGATTGAGCCCCACATCGGGCTCCCTGCTCCGTGGGTAGCCTGCCTCCCCCTTTCCCCCTGCTGCTCCCCCTGCTTGTGCTCTTCCTCCCTCTCTCTCTCTCTATGTGTGTCAAATAAACAAATAAAAATCTTTCAAAAAAATAAATAAAAGGAAAATCTTTTTAAAATGTGGTATATCCATACAATGGAATATTATTCAGCTTTAAAAAGGAAGGAAAGCTTGTCATCACATGGATGACATGGGATTAACATGACACGGATAAGCCTTGAAGGCCTTATGTTACACGAAATAAGCTAGACACAAAAAGACAAATACTGAATGAGTCCATTTATGTGAGGGATCTAAATTAGTCAAAGTCATAGAGACAGGAAGTAGGATATGGTTGCCAGTAGCTGGGGGTGAACAGAGGGTTGTTTAATGGGTACAGAGTTTCAGAGTTACAAGATGAAAAAGTTCTGGAGATCTATTTTCTAATAATGTGAATGTACTTAACACCCTGAACAATATACTTATAAATGGCTGAGATGGTAAATTGTATGTGCTGTTTACCACTATTTAAAAAACTAATAATATTTATCATACTTTTCATTATAACAACCAAGCCAAACCACACTCTTTGATGGTGAATTTCTTTTCTCTCAAATAAGAACATTAAGGACCTGGTGCCAATCAGGCTGAGCAGCCCCAGATGGTCGTCTGTCCTCACCTCTAACTAGCCTGTCACCATCTCTGGCCTTAATGATGGAGAAAGGCACAAGGTAGAAGGTGATGCTCCAAGCCATGTAAGGGCATCCATGGGTCCTGGTCCCCTGTCGATGCAGACAGGTGTCTTCCTGCACCAGTTCTCATCCCTACTCCACCTTTCCTCTTTTTCCAGCCCTGGTTCCAGTGTGTCATCTACAGTCACCACTTAAACCAGTCCCCTCTCTTTTATCCACAGCACAGAATCCACATCTGGTAGATGACAGATTTTTTCTGATAGCGTGAAAACACTGATGTTTGGAATCATGACTCAGTTTTGATAGAATCACTATGATTATAGTTCTGCTCCAAAAAATCCCCTAAAAATACATTTAAAATCTGAAATGGGACGTGGAGAAGTAAAAAAAAAAAAAAAAAAAAAGCTTTGTTAAGAATAAAGATAAGTTATAGGGGGCACCTGGGTGGCTCAGTGGGTTAAGCCTCTGCCTTTGGCTCAGGTCATGATCTCAGGGTCCTGGGATCGAGCCCAGCTCTCTCTGCTCAGCAGGGAGCCTGCTTCCCCCTCTCTCTCTCTGCCTGCCTCTCTGACCACTTGTAATCTCTGCCTGTCAAATAAATAAATAAAATCTTAAAAAAAGAAAAGAAAAAAAGAACAAGGAGAAGTTATTGATCATAATCTCTTTATTGTTACGGACTGGGTTTGTGTGTGTAAGAACTGCTTCGTAAGGATATAATTCACATGGTATAAAATTCATCCTTTTACTTGAATTTTTATTTTTTTAAGATTTTGTTTATTTATTTGACAGACAGAGATCACAAGTAGGCAGAGAGGCAGGCAGAGAAAGAGGGGGAAGCAGTCTCCCCGCCGAGCAGACAGCCTGATGCGGGTTTCAATCCCAGGACCCCGGGATCATGACCTGAGCCGAAGGCAGAGGCTTTAACCCACTGAGCCACCTAGGCGCCCCCAAATTCATCCTTTTAAAGTGTGCTGTTCAGGTCACTGCTGATGAGTGAGGAGGAAAAAAAAATAAGTGTGCTGTTGGGTGGCTTTCAGGACATCCACGGAGTTGTGCAACCACCACCACAATCTAATTTTAGAACATTTTCATCACCCCCAAATGGAAACCCCATAACCATTAGCAGTCACTCCCTGTCCCTCTCCCTGTCCAGCCCCTAGCAACCATGTCTTTCTGCCTCTATTCATTTGCCTACTCTGGATGTTTCATCTCAGTGGGGTCATACAACATCATAAGGTTTTCACAAAGAAAAATGAAGACTGATCTCTGTACTGATGAGACAGGCCACACAGAGAAGCTCACGTAATGCAGGCAAACAGCATGGGAAGCAGCGGAGGTCTGGACAAGGAGTCAACCTCATCCCTGGTCCCTGAGGGCCACCTCTGCAGCTTGCCGAATGCAGAACCTACCACGGGAGGTCACCCCTCCCTGGGCTGCAGCTCCCTCACCTGAAAATGCCAGGAAGGGCCCTCTTGGCTCTGAAATCTCCCGATTTTAAGTGAAAGGACACTAAAAAAAGGGCAGCAAACAGTCTTATCTAATCTCATCAGGCAAAACCACCACCAAATGGGTGCATTTTCCATGAAGGGCCACACCCAGTAGCTGTGGTCGTGCTCTGTGACCTGACGTATTTGGCAGCTGCTGTCAGAACAGAGCAGTTAATGTCCTACCTTCTGACAGAATCTCGTGGTGGGTCCATCCTCTGCCGACTCTGCAAATTCTGTCCAAGGAAGCCTCTCTCTCGTGCAGAAGGCAAAGGGCATAGCTGTGAAGAGGAGAAAGTCAGAATCACATTCAGTGCTCATGGCTTCTGAGGGGGCGCTCCTCAGCCCAGCAGCTGAGGGTCTTCACAAGATAACAAGGCTCCTGAGGGTCTCAGCCTGGTTTCCAAGATCTGTGTCCCTCAATGTGGGTGCCAGGCAGACCCTAACCTTCTAGGCTTCATAGCAAAACAAAGGGCTGGGCCAAATTTCTTTACTCCAGGCTTAAAAACAATTGAATTGAGAGGAAAAAAAAAAAAAAACCATTCAGGGACTTGAACAGATATGTTCATAATCATTTCATAGCAGCACTATTCACAAAAGCTGAAAGATGGAAGTAACACAAGTGTCCATTGGTGGATGAATGGATAAACCAAATGTAGTTTGTATCCATATAATGGAATGTTATTCAGCCTGAAAAAGCAGGAACTTCTGACACATGCTATAATATGAGTGAGGCTCAAAGACATTACACTAAGTGAAACATTAGTCATAAAAGGACAAATGCTATAGGATTCCACTGATAGGGGGTACTTAGGATAGCCAGATTCATAGAGACAGAAATTAGAATGGTGGTTGCCAGGGGCTGGGTGGGGGAGGACAGAGTTTCAGCAAGGGAAGAGGAAAAAATTCTGGAGGTGGACGACACGAGGGTTGCACAACAGTGTGAATATGGTCAGTGCCACTGAAATGAACAAAAATGACTAAAATGGTAGAGTTGATCTTAGGTATATTTTACTCTAGATCCCAAACTGCTGGCTAGTCTGTGGGTTGGTAGAACCACAGCCAAGATTTCCTGGGGAAAGTCTGAGGGCCACTGAGGATGGCACAGGTGACTCTGGGCACGTCACCATAGAATGTTCCTCCTCATGGGCATAGAGAGGCTTCTTCAGGAACAAGAAAAGCCACTCACTTAATGAACTCCCATAAGAAATCTGGGAACCGCCGGATGATGGACTGAATGTTCCCCGAGGATAAATGTGTGACTAGATGCCATCAGGGGGCTAATTAAATAAGAAATTTCATTAAATTCATAAACTGATTTTTATGTGCTTTTTATTTTTCAAGCAGCAGGTACCGACGTATGTAGTAACAGTTCACAGAATGCTACACATACCAGGTTCAAAATGATGCTCGCCTTTGTAGGAGAGGGTGGCGGCTCCCATGGAGTGGGTACAGGGATTTCTGGCCACCTGAGTTCTATCGTTCCCCAGCCTCAGGCACACTCTTTAGCATCCGCCAGTCTGATGGTGTGAACTGGGAGAGCACCATGATTAAGTAGGCACTTCCCTTATCACCTGTAGGGGAGCACCTTGCCACATGGTCACTGGCCTTTCTGGGTTCATCCTCCAGGCAGTCTTGTGCATAATCACCTTTGCCCATTTTCTAATGGGCTGCTTGTCTTTGTCTTCTTGCTTTGGAGCACTGAATTCTTTGTTTGGACTGATTCCGTATACTCTTTAAACCTTCCTCCTTCCAATTACCCAAATCCATTGTTTTTTTGTTTTGTTTTGTTTTTTTTTCCAGGGAGATTAGCCTAATGGAAGTTTCCAGATGCTCGCTATAGTTCACATCGCTCTGAATGGACTAACCTGCAGGGAGGATATTCAGGAAACAGTATGATGTGAACGGCAAGTGCCTTCAGTGGTCATGGCACAGGGTGGATGGCCTGTTTGGGGTGACTAATTATAGTCAACCTTTCCCAAAAGTGGGCCATGGGCCCAGTATAGGCAGCTGGTCCCCTATCCTTGTGAAGTAGGGGAGACACTCATTTCACAGAGAAGGAAGAGAAAGAAGCATCATCAGTCTTCCAATTCCTTTCAGTCGTAGGATGACTGGTCCTAGGACGGTGCCTGAAGAGGCTACCAATGGCACCATCACCATCTTGGCCCCCTGGGCTCTGCCAGCAATAGCCCCAGGGGTCTCGGCTCAGGCTCAAGACTCCCCAGGCTTGCCTTCAGCAAAGAGGGATAAACTATTTTAAGGAAGCCAACAAAAAAGCTGTTACTGACAAAAAAGATCCTTAATGACCATTTATTCTCTGCTTTCAGCACATTAGGAGAGACTCAAATACCCCAAGAGAATAAAACCTCCCTTTCTGACTTCATTGCAGGTTGCTAACCTCTCCAAATTTCTCCATTTCCATTTTAATGGCTTCTTTTCCTGTTTACACAACCTCTGTAAACAAACTTTCCAAAGAGGAATGTGGAATGGAGGTTGGGGGGAGGCTAGCTACAAAGTCCAACTACAGCTTTCAGATTAGAGGGGAAGAGGACTCCTTATTTATTGAACCAACACTCTGTGAGTCAGGCTCTAAATTTAGGCCTGGCCCTGCCCTCAGGAGCTGCCAGCCTAGATGGGGGGAACTGAATTATAACCTCTTGTGGCTGCACAATTTCACACAGTGCTCAATTCTATGCTGGGTAGTTCCCAGGGTCCCCCAAAGAAGGGGGTGTCTGTGCTAGGCCTTGATGCATGAGTAGGAGTTTGTCCAGATGAGTCCAGATGCAAGAAAGTGAAGAAGTTGGTTAAAACATCCAGTAAACATTTTGTCTGTCAGTAGCAGCGACTGTTCATTAAAGATAAAACATTTAAAGATAAAACTGAGCCTGCGTGCCTCAGTCAGTCAAGCATCTGACTTTTGATTTTTGGCTCAGGTCACTATCTCAGGGTTGTGGGATCACACCCTATATTGGGCTTGTTGCTCAGTGGGGAGCTGGCTTGAGATTCTCTATCTCCTTCCACCCCTCCCACCCCTTGTGCTCGCTCTCTCTTTCTAAAACAAATAAATCTTTTTTTTTTTTTTTTAAAGAAAAAAGATAAAACAGGGATGGGAGAATGGATAAACAAACTGTAGTCTAGCCATACAGTGGAATATTATGCCGCCATAAAAAAGGAGGGCATATTTTTTTTTTTTTAAGATTTTTTTTTAATTTATTTGACAGAGATCACAAGTAGGCAGAGGGGCAGGCAGAGAGAGGGAGGGAAGCAGGCTCCCCACTGAGCAGACAGCCCCTTCAGGGCTCGATCCCAGGACCTTGAGATCATGACCTGAGCCGAAGGCAGAGGCTTTAACCCACTGAGCCACCCGGCACTCCAAGAAGGGTATATTTTTAAAAAAGATTTAATTTATTTATTTGACAGAGAGAGACACAATGAGAGAGAGAACAGAAGCAAGGGGAGAGGGAGAGGGAGAAGCAGGCTTCCCCACCAAGCAGGGAGCCGATGCGGGGCTCAATCCCAGGACCCTGGGATCATGACTTGAGCTGAAAGCAGCCGCTTAATGACTGAGCCACTCAGGCGCCCCAGGAAGGGCATTCTGACATATGCCACAACATGGACGGACCTTGAAAACATCATTCTAAAGTGAAATAAGCCAGTCACAAAAGGACAAATACTGTATGATTCTACTTATGTGAGGTCCCTAGAGTAATCAAATTCATAGAGACAGAACATAGAACAGAGGTTATCAGAGGTGCAGGATGGAAGGGTATTATTAAATGAGTACAGAGTTTTTGTTGGAGGTGTTGAAAAAGTTTTGGGTATAGATAGTGGTGATAGTTACACTCTGTGAATGCATTTAATGTCACTGAATTGTACCCTTGCCAATGATTAAAGTGACGAATATTATGTTTTATGTATTTTACCATGATTAAATATTTTTCACGTTAAAAACAGTGGTGATAATTAGAATGGGAAAAATAAACTAACACCACGCAGACAATGGCCTCACAGAGTTTTATGGTCTAATGGAAGAGGCAGACAAATCAAAAGTGTCACCCAAATGAGTGAAGGTATAAGTAACCAGGAACATGGAAAACGAGATGAACTTCTGGGCACAGATTTTTTTGGATGCACACCTTTGCTCTTTTCTTGTTCACCATACCAAATGACAATAAAGGGATTTTTATGCAAAGGTACAAACCCATGAGGATGAAGCACTGAGAAAAGGGCGAGAGCAACAAAACACAGGAGGTTAGAGAGCTGAGGGATGAGGGTAGATATTGTGATAGATCTAGAAAATTCAGGCTCCCAGAAGTAGAGGAAGCCAGGGAACACCCCCCTCTCCATCATATACCCTGCAAAGTTTCAGAGTCAGAGGTACCATGAGGATCTGAAGGTGGGGGGGTAGGGAGGGGTGGCGAATAAAAACTGGTCAAAAGTCTGCTTAAGAAGTAGTCAGGGGATGGCTGGGTGGCTTAGTTGGTTAAGCATCTGCCTTCGGCTCAGGTCATGATCCCAGGGTCCTGGGATCAAGTCCCTCATCGGGCTCCTTGCTCAGCAGGGAGCGTGCTTCTCCCTTTACTTTCTACTCTCCCTGCTTGTGAACTCTCTTTCCCTGTCAAATAAATAAATAAAATCTTATAAAAGAAAAAAAGAGCAGTCGGAAGCCCAGATCCCTCCTCCACTGCACAAGGCTGGCATGAGTCCCTCCCACCCCTAGAAGAAGGCTAGGGGCTCATTCTCTAGAAGTGCTTAAAGAGAAGGCCTCTGGCCTTGGGGAAGCCAGGACAGATAAAGACGAGTAGAGTGCCAAAACTAGAGGGATTCAGGAAACACTGGCACACTGGACCCCTATCCTCCTTCTCTTCTTGGCAGGAGGTAAGAAGAATCTTCTCTTCGGACTTTGACTAGCCTGAAAAGGATGACCCAAAGACACTACTGTGAAGGGTTAGCTAACAAACAGCTAAACCAAGTCATCCTCTCATGAAACTCAGTGGGAAGGAGCTCTTCCCACCAACTCAGAGCTTGCAATCAGCTTTTCAACCCCCAATTCTTAAAATATAAGCAGTTGGGGGGAAAAGACCAACATGGAGTAAGTAGGAAACATGCAAGGAGGAAAAAAAAAATGCTACCTAACATCCTCAGAGACAAGAGAAAGTATTGCGATTATACAATAAGAACAGGATGTCATAAAACAGGAACTTTCAGACCAAAAGAACTCTTGTAAATTCAAAATATGACAGCAGAAACAAAAGACTGAATAAAAGGCTGAATGGCAAATTAAGGTAAAATCTACCAGAAAACTGAGCAAAAAGACAAAGATGAAAAACAGGAGGAAATACTTCAGAAAATCAGGGATCTAGTCCAGGGTTCTAACATCCTAATAGAAGGAGTATCAGGAAGAGATGGAAGAAAAAAGAAGGGAGAAAATCACTAATGAACAGTAGATCTGAAGGACCCAGATTTCTAGCCTGGAGGAAGCCACTGAGTTCCTAGAATAATGGATGAAAATAGATATACACATATTATGTACTGTCTCCCCATTCCCCACAAGAAGCACCCTAAGGGCAGAGATGTGTGTCTTTTGGCTTGCTGCTGTATGTCAAATACCTATGATGGTACCCAGCATGTAGCAGATGCTTAATAAATATTTCCTGACTTAATGAAAAAAAATAAAATAGATACACACCATGGCATATCATTATGAAACTTCAAAACATTGGAGAAAATCCTACAACCTTCTATAGAAAAATAAACAGATCATATGCAATGGGTCATCAGTCAAAATGTCTTTAGACTAGTCATCGACACCCAAAGCCAGAAGACGATGGAGTAATGTGCTCAAACTTCCAAAGGAAAATTATTTCTAACCTAGAATTCGATACCCAACCAAACTATCAAGCTAGAGGTAGGAGGAACCTATTTTCAGAGATGCAAAGTCTCGAAAAGGTTACCTCCTATGTGTTCTTTCTCAGAAACCTAGTCAACCCAAAAGAGGGAGAAAGGCAAGAAAGAGGAAGATGTGGGATAGGAGAAACACAAGAGCAAGATAAGGGAACTCCCCAGCATGACAGTGAAGGGAAATCCCAGGAAGACAGCCATGCAGCCAGCAGAGGGGGCAACTAATTCAGACTAGAGTTAGAAGGCTCTGGGGACAGAGTCTTCAAGGAGATGGAACCAGGTAGAGAGTATGGGGGAAACAGGTGATGGGGATTAAGAAGCACATTTGTCATGATGAGCAGCAGGAGATGTATGGAACTGCTGAATCATGATATCCTACACCTGAAGTGAACATAACACTGTATGTTAACTGGAATTAAAATAAAAACTTAAAATAAAAACTTAAAAAAAAAAGGAGATGAAACCAGCAGACAGCTTCACATATCTAAACCTCTCCAAAGGATTTAAGAAGCTGGAAGTTTGGGGTAGAATTTGGGGTAAGTGTGCAGAAAACAAAGCAAATTCTGGGGAAAACAGAAGGTGATTCAGGAAAAGAAATCTAAGTTTGCAAAATGGCTTGGCAGAGAATGGACGGAAGATAGGAAGGGTATGTGTGAAAAAAGAGTGGGCAGAGGAGGCAAGGGACTCATGCCGTCTTCTTCCATAGCGGGAAGTTAACAGATGGTACGAAACTGAAAAATCAGGAAGCAGCAACACAAAGGTAGATTCCCAAAGAACCAGCTGAGAGTAGAAGCGGTTGCCTGTGGGGAGGAGGACAGCTAGGTTTTGGTAACAGACCTTGTAGACCATTTGACTCCCAACCATGAGCATGTGTAACTTTGATAAAAATAAAATAAAGGTATATGGTACCAGGGGTACGTTACAGGGAGATAATTTTAGATAGGGAGGTGGGCTCTGAGCTTCTGTGTCAAGGCTGGACAGGGTCTAAAAGGCAAGGGGGGTGGGGAGGCAAGGGGGGTGAAGGCCAGGCAGGCAGAGGGAGCAGTTGTTTCAGCGGCCTGGGAGGAGGGGGAGGGTGCTGTAGGGCTGTGAAGGATCAGGGAGGTCAGGGCAGAGCCCAGCCGAGGTGAGGCCACAGAGGTGGGGGAAGGAACAGACTAAGCAGTACAAGAGTTGAAATTTGCAAAGATCTTTTCTAGAAGGCATGAAGAGTGCGTTAGAAGGGGCCAAAGTGGACAGTGCAGGGAGACCAGCTGGAAGCAATTACAGAAGCCAAGGTGAGAGCTGATGGTGCCTTGGGCCAGGGCAGTGGTATGATGGTGGGCAGGAACAAGTGAATGAGTTCAGGACAATTTGAGAGGAAGAACCGGCAGGACCAGACAACAGACTAGGGTGCACAGAGGCCAGGATTCCTGGCTTTCCAGTGCTGTTGACTAAAGAATCTTTCTACAGATTAGAGAAGAGATTTTTTAAAAATCGAGCAGTCTTCTTGGTAACACGAAGATTACACTATTGTCTGCAGGCAGCAGAGAAAGCACCCGGGAGACACTTACTCCAGGCTTCCTGGAAACAGATGATATTCACCCCACACACTGCGGCCACCTCTACAATGGCTTCGATGCATCTGTGAAGGGCGGCGACCTGGCAATTCAAAGAGCAAGGATTAGAACCTATTCTCTTCTGTTGGTTGAGACCAGTTTCAGAACTCCTCCCCAGGGATGTGAAACTAACCCCGACCTAGGCAGCTGCAAGGGGATGAGGAGGGGGTGTGTGTGTTCTGTGATAGCCTACTCCCATCAATCCCAAAATCTGCAGTGAAAGGTGGAGGTGCCTGGGGTGCCTGGGTGATTCAGTCATTTATATCTGACTCTTGTTTCTGGCTCTGGTCGTGATTTCAGATTTGTAGGATCCAGGCCCGTGTCAGGCTCTGCATTCGGTGGAGTCAGCTTGAGATTCTCTCTCTCTCTGCCCACTCCCCCTCCATGCTCTAAATAAACAATAATAATAATTAATAAACAAAAGGTGGAGGTGCAGAGGTTCTCGGGTCCCACGCACTCGACGCTGCCTTTCAGAGCCTCAGTTTGTCCACCTGGAGAATGGGGAGAACACCATCTGCCCCAAGGGGCTGCTCAGAGGACTGCAGAAGAAGCTTATCTGCTATTTACCACAAGAGGTGCCCACGCCCAGGGCACACCTTAGTCATCCCCTGGGCTAACTTCTCCTTTTGCCTCAGGACATAGTCCACTGTCTACCATCCTGCCCTCATGGCTTCTGGCGTGACTTGTCCTGCCACTTCCATTTTCCTGGGTGTCTCTTATCATTGAATGAATGGATCCCATTTTCCAGATGTGACCTCCTTCAGGAATATACCTCCCCACTCCACCCAGTCTTTCCTGGATGGGTTATTCCTGTCAAGGGTTGCACACCGAAGCTCTGTGGAGATCTGCTAGGTGCTGACAGTGTGCGGAGTGTTCTCCGGGGTGCTATGGGGAGTGAGAACACTGTCCCTGCCCCTGACAGTCTGGGATGGTTGAGGAAACATATTCACAGTCAATTAATCCAGAGACAAAAAGGGATCTTGAACCAGAAATATTTTAATCCAACAAAAGCAAAAGGACCAAAGTGAAAGACGACGCAGAACCTGAACTGAAATCCAACTGACCTTTTCTCAAGAACCCCTAGGAGTTCAGAGGCATGCTGTATCCCCAGGAAACCTCTGCAGACAAAGTCTTAGAAGTCTGAGCAGCTGGAGGAATGCTGGGAAGAAGTGTAGCCAATAAGACACCTGTGTCTGTGACACCCTATTTCTTTAGGGACATCCCAGAATGCCATCACATTTATATTAACCATAAGGTCATAAGGAAATGCGTCTCATATTCCCGCTACCCCGAGGCACCATCAGCTGACAGACATCTGGGTTTGGTGAGTCCCCACCCTCAGGATCACGGAAGGACAGATGGGTCCTGACCGGTATGCGCTGGCAGATACCCTTCTGGCAAAAGACTAAGAGGCAAAGTTCCAGAGAGAACATGAGCCAGACGAAGGGTGCCCTCCCAGTGGATGAACGGAACTTCAGATGCATCACAGGAGGGGACATGGAGGGGAAGGTGGAAACAGCAGTGAGGAGTGAGAGGCTCAATCGAGAGGAGCCAGAGATGTGGGCTACAGGGAAGGGGGGTTAGCCAGGGCAGAAGCATCTAGGTGACGACTCGTGGTGCCTCCAGATCAGTAGTGAGTGGCCACCCAGGGACTGTGGACGTATTCAAAACACACAGCAGGCCAACAGCCCCGTTTATGTATTTATGGTCAAAAGAGGCTGCACCTGTCTTGCCACGGGGGCATCTGCAGGCAGGGGAGTTCTGTTTTGAATGAGTCCCACACGCACAGTCCGAGGCGGCCTCAGCTGCTCCTCTGCGGCCTCAAAGGCATATCCCTGCAGCTCAAAGTCCCCTTCAGAGGCGGCTTCCAAAGCCCTGCTGGGCAGATCGAGCTTCCTAAATGGGCAGGAAAGGTGGGAAACGATTTGCATGAGGTCTGCTGAATTGAAACCTCCCCTCCATGCCCCACCCCCCATCACCTCTGGGGGGCAATCTGGAAAGGAGGTACACAGAGCAACCCAGTGCCAGGGCCCACTCGTGGGAAGCTGCAGCAGGGGCCGGGAGGGGGAGGGCTCTGCCTGGTGGAGAAGGCACACTACACTGAGTGTGGACTTCACCAGGGAGGCGCCGCAGTCAGGCCTGGCAAAGCTGGGGAGCAGGGAGGCGGGGGCTGCAGGGTGATGGGTCAAGAGGTTGATGTTCCGGAGCTGTTGACCTCAGGGTGGAGATTAAAGTCTCAGCAGTCAGCACAGAAGAGAGGCAATAGATTTCCAAAAATGTTTGTGGACTAGAATCAGAGGGCTCCCTGAGCCTGGCGGGTGGGACAGGCTGGGATAAGGCAGAGCCGTTGCTGAGAACTGAGCTTAGGAGATGGCTGGGTGGAGGGGCCGGGACTGATTGCATGGTGGGGGTGGGTTCCTGTGACCCTTCACTGCTAAGGGTTACAGGTCTCTGGTGAGCCCCACCCCCTGTCCTGTGGCTGCTCCCACCAGGGGCAGTCCCATGCCCCATACTGGGGGTGGGGGCCTGGTGGGACCCAGGTATCCAGACCAAAGACGCTGGCACTCATCCTAGTTTATGGTTTATTGACAAAGGCAAATGGATTATTTATAAAACGTTCTGCCTAAGTGACCACTGACCAAATAGCAAACACCTCCTGATGCTGGTTGGATGCCCAGCGCTCAGGCAAAACCCGCAGGTGCATGGGACATGGCCTCTGGCCAGGAAGGCCTTACCATCTAGGGGCAAGATGGTTATGAAATACTCAGGGAACACATCAAAAAATAACCTGACAGCCATTATCTAATAATAATATTTCTCTCCTACTTTAAATCAATTTCTTAAAGACGTTTCTTTCAAAATCACAGCCCTGTCAGCCCAAGCCCCCTGTCGCCACCCCCTGCCAGGCGGTTTCCATGTGACGGCCCTGACAGCTCCAAGTTGGGTTCCGCCCCTGACAATCAGCTTGCTTTTCAAATAGTCAGGGTTCCGTTCACTTCAGCAGGTTAGAAATAGCAGCAGTGCCCACACCGCACCTCTCCTTGCCTTGACTGCCTCAGACACAGTCCTGCCTTCAAGCAGAGGGCTCCCCTGCCACAGACCTCAGTCCCAGGACAAGTCTCCATGGAGGACAGGAGAAAAAGGAGAAGGGCTCTGTGTGTCCATCTCCCCTTGGGCCCTTGGGCGGGGGGGAGCAGGACCATCCTTTCAGAGACATCTTGGCAAGCCTGTCCTCCATCTTGGTCTCATCCCAGGAAGATAGCAGATGGAAGAGATCTTGTCTCATCCTTGCAAGCCCACCCGTAGCCGTCACCTGGATGGACAGAGGTCCCTCAGCCTCTGGCCGTCTTTTCTTATCCAATACCCATAGCTGTTGGCTCTCCCCATCTTTCCACCACCATAAGCCCCATTATTCTGAGATGTGCAGCCTCTCTGCCTTGTCACTATGCTGAGTGCTGCCTCCATCCCTCCCCCACCCAGCTCCCTGAGGACACTCATCCTCCTAGGCTTCAGGTGGCACAGGCCAGGCCACTCCACGTCACACAGAGTGAGCTACCCACGGGGTGTTTAGTCACCTCCACCTTCCTGTTATCCAACTAGTCTGTCACCATGTCCTGGCCCATTTAGTCTTGGAGAACCCAACAGACCCTCGAGCCCCATTCCATGAACAAGTGTTGTGCCCACCGAAGGCTTGGCATAGGGATGTGGTGGACATAGACCAGTATGGCCCCGCTGGGGGGTGAGGCAGAGACCAATAGATGAACCATAACCTCAGAAGGGCTCCATGCTGCCCGAAACCCTCCCTTGATCCCTGTATTGCCCTTCTGCCCTTCTGCCCCTTATCCTGATATTAAGGCCCCTCATGGCCTCACCTCTAATGTTAAGGAGGAAAGCCCACCACTTCCTGCTCTGGCTGCAACATACCCTCCTGGGGCCCTCCCCTGGTGCCCATCTCCCCCACCAGGGTCAAGGCAGGCCTCGCCTGAGGGAGCCCAACTCCTGCCTCCTCTGCGACCTCTAGCTTCTACAACTTCATCTTTCTTCTCTAATAGCTCTTCACCATCAATGTTTTAAATAATTAAACTAGAGCTTTGCTACTAAAGAAACACATGTTTGTGGGAGGAAAAAAAACCAAACAGTGAAAAGGATGTCAAGTGAAAACTGGGTTCCCTTCCCCATCCCGTCCCTCAGGTCCAGTCCCAAATCTCAGAGACAACCCCTCTTAACAATGTAGGTATTTTCCCAATATTTTCCTCTATGTGTGTAAACTAGATTGGTGTCCTGTATATTCTGCTCTACTACTTGCCTTTCTTATTAACAATATGCTCAGACATTCCTCCCTGTCTCCTCCAGACCTACCACATCCACCATTAAAGCCGCTTGAGAGTCATGTGGGTGGCTCAGTTGGCTAAACTCCTGACTTCCGCTCAGGTAATGATCTCAGCGTTATGGGATCGAGCCCTGCCTCCTAGGGCTCTGTGCCCTTGGGGAGTCTACTTCTCCCTCTCCCTCTGCCCCTCCCCCTGCTCACGTGCTCTTTCTCTCTCTCAAAATAGGAAAAAAAAAAAAGCTATCTGAATCTTTCCCATTACATAAATAAATAACAGAGGGGGGAAAAAAAGGACACAGGTCCTCTTGCTACTTCACTTGCACTCCTCACCTCCCCTTAGTAGGGAGCTTCCCCAAAGCCCTCACCTCCCACACCTCCCTCGGCCACCTGTACCCTGGGGCCCACTCCCCACTCTGAATTTCCACCAGCCTTCTGGTTGGCTTTAGCAAAGGGAGAGCCTCATACTCCTGTCTTCATCCTTCTAGACCTCCACCACCTGACACTCTGTCCCTATCCTGCTTGATGTCTTTAATACTTGCCCTAGGTCCCTGATCCCTACTTCCTCACCTCTTGGAGTACCATGCAAAGTCTTCACTTCCTGGGATTTTTTTTTAACAGCAGGTTCTCCCGAATCCCTTCCCAGGCCTTTCCCACTCCGCACCCACTCTTCCTCCTGGAATGAGGACAATCCCAATACCAGCCTCCCCAGTGAGGACCACCTCTGCACAGTCCCTGTAGTGGGTTGAACTGTGGCCCCTGACGAGACACCCACATCCTATATGCAAAACCTGTGAATGAGACCTAATTTGGAAAAAGGACATTTGCAGATATAATTAAAGACGTCAAGATAACATCATCCTGGATTATACAGGCAAGCCCTAAATCCAGTGACCAGTATTCTTGTAAGAGATGCCCAGAGGACAGTCAGGGGGAAGAGAAGGCCATGTGAAGACACAAGCAGAGATTGGGGTGATGCTGTCACAAGTTAAGGGATGTCAGAAGCCACCAGAAACTAGAAAAGGCAAGGAAGGATTCTCCTCCTAAAGTAACTCTGTTACTTTAGACCTCCTCATCTTTCACCTGCTCTTTTCAAATTCTTTAAAGACTCCCACCACCATTAGGACAGGTCCCGCTGCTTTAGCATGGTGTACAGGACCCCTGGGCCTACGACAGCTACTTTGCCTCCCCCTACCCTCCCCCCACAGCATTCCACACCTGTAATCCCTGAATGAGATGCTCCCTGGTGTCTGGGCCTTGATCCAGAGTACCCGAGCCCTTCCTGTCTCCAAACCAACTTCTCCATCTCCTTCAGGATACAGTCTCAGCATGGCGCCCCTGGGAAGCCTTCCTGACCCACCCCCACCTCTGTTCACGTACACTCTCTCCAGCCCGCCTTGCATCCTTCTCTCACCATGTACGACAACCATGAAAAGGCAGAAAGCCCCTCCAGGGAGGAAACCGTGGCTTGCTCATCCTTGTACTCCTAGTGCCCAGGACAAAAATAAACATGCAATAAATGTTGAGTGAATAAATGCTTCTTGGGTCTGGCTGTCTTAAAATTGAGAGTCCATGTATTTTGAGGATTTCAGCTGCCGGGCCCAGGCAAAAGCCCATTTAGCTCATACACTTACACATTTACTAAGTGTCTCTTTGTGTTTGGCACAGCAAATAATTGGGAGAGAAGGTTGGTCTTGTGTGGGAGGCAGTCAGGAGCCCCGAAGAGGGGCTGAGGACTCAGGCTCCACCAGCCCTTCCTTCACAGAGGTGGCCATGGCAGTCAGGGTATAAGAAGTGAGCAGGAGGGCGCCTGGGTGGCTCGGTGGTTGGGGCCTCTGCCTTCGGCTCGGGTCATGATCCCGGGGTCCTGGGATTGGGCCTCGCGTAGGGCTCTCTGCTCGGCGGGGAGCCTGCCTCCTCCTCCTCTCTCTCTCTGCCTGCCTCTCTGCCTGCTTGTGATCTGTCTGTCAAATAAATAAAAATCCTTAAAAAAAAAAAAAAAAAGAAGTGAGCAGGAGTTTAAGTGAGAAAAGTTTTTAAATGACTAACGATTTTCCATCTTCAGTTCACAATCCTGTGCATAGCCAAATCCCACCCAGTTGCAGGGACTGAGCAAGCACACTGGCTAATACCCTAGAGGTAAAGCCTGAAAGGCCTCAGCACTGAGTGGAAGAGAACCTTTTGTGAACAGTTATTGTAAGCCAAGCCCTTTGATGGGGCCCAGTCACCACCAGCCAATGGGTGTTGGCTCTCATTTTACCACGCATTATAATTCCTACCCACTCTGGAGAAATCCAAATGCTCACATAAAGTCCCTTTTGCAAGGTAGTCCTTATCCCAGTCTCTAGAATGTGCCCCAGCCAGTCACCTATATGGGAAACTTATTTCTCTTTTCCTAAGACTCTGTGCTTTACCCCTGACACCACAAACTCTCTCCATCTGTTCCCAGAAGAACATGTCCACCTCATCCTTAAAACACACACACACACAAACAAACAAACTATTCCCATCCTGAGACCCTCTTGCTTTAACTCTAAGAGGCTTCCCTCTTGACAGGTATGGTGGAAAGTAGTAGGTCAGCATGATTTCACTGGAGAAAACTTAAAGGACATCCACTTCCAGGTATCCCTCTTTGGGTATGAAGAGCCCTTTTCGACAGAGTTCTCTACCACTCCTACCCCCAAAGGCAGTTGTTCTGCCTTTACCATCCACTAGCTCTGTTCACTAGCGGATGGTCAAGTTCACTTTATGTTCTCTTAGGTCTGAGATCGGGCCTCCCTGCAGCAACTCCAGTGCAGCCAGTGGCTGGGAACCACTGTTCCAATCAACACCCTTGAGTTTCAGGTTGATCAGGTTCCTGCCTCAAGGTCATTGCCACAAGGTCAGGAAGTGCACAGTCTGGCTTGGGTGGGGGGAATGGGGGATCCCACCAGTGGGCAAAGCAGTGGAAGGAGATGATGTCAGGAGCTGCATGGGGTCAGAGTTTGGATTTCACTCTAAGAGCCATGGGACTCCTTCACAGAGGAGTTTTTGTTTTGTTTTGTTTTGAAGATTCTATTCATTATTTGAGAGAGAGAGCGCATGCATGCACAAGGGGTGACTGGGGAGGGCCAGAGGGAGAGGGAAAAGCAGGCTCCCTTTTGGGCAGGAAGCCTGACAACTCTGGGGCTGGAACCCAGCACCCCAGGATCACCACCAGAGCCAAAGGCAGATGCTTAACCAACTCTGCCACCCAGGTGCCCCTCCTTCACAGAATTTTAAGCACAGGAGCAACAAGATATGATTTACATCTCCGGGTTGCTTGGAGAAAAACGGACTGAAGAGAAACAAGAGTGAAAGTGTCTTCCAGCTTTGTATACCCAGTTCCAGCAGTGCACTAACCTAGTCCTAGTGATGCACACGACTGGCTGGGAGCAGAAAATCATTTGCACTGAGTGTGGTAACTAATTCCTATGGCTTGCCAGTGGGTAAGGTTCCTACTCAACCAGATTCAGCCAGCCTCTACCTCCAAGGATCTGCCAGAGGCCCAGTCACTGCAGGAAGTAGGGGCTGGGCCTGGACAGTCAGGTGACCTGCTAGGTGCTCTGCCTGAGGCACTGACCCAGACAGACACCCAAAGCAGAGGCCTGCATCTGGGGAAGAAGCTGGTCCCTGGAAGTAGGTAGAGAGCTGGGTGGCCACAGAGAAAACGACAGAGAGTAAAAACCTGTCCTTTCCCTTCCAGATTCTTTTCCCTTCCGAGTTCTGGGCAACAAGGGGAGAACTGGCTTGTAAAGGTCACTCGGGGGTTGGTCGGGGGTTATGCAACCCCCGAGGCCCAGAGCCATCACATCTAGACCTCCTAAGGCTCCTGCTCAACAACTCAGATCTCCATCGCCCCGTCAGAACCCTTCAGATCCTGAAGCACTCTCCCTGGTTCCCCAGACCCACACTCACTGGCCCCAAGGTCTCCCCACCCGAACCTCTGGGCCCCAGACCTGGTTTCCTTGCCATAGAGAACGCGTTTCACCTCCCGCAAGTCTGCAGGAGGCAGGTGCTTCTCCAAACTGTGCTCCAGAGACTCCCACTCAGGACCCGCCATGGCTGGAGTCTGCAAGCGTGGACGAGGCGCTAAGGTCCAGACCAGTACTGTCTACCCTTTGCCCCCAGAAAGAGGAGGAGCCGACAACCAGGTCTACGCACGCTCTCTCCTCTCTCCCCTCACCTTCGGCCTCTGGAGGGCTCACGTGAGGCACGCCCCCTCCTCGCGCCTTCCCCGGCCTCGCGGGTGGGACCGCCCCTTGCCCTTCGCGCCTCTTTGCGCACGCGCTAGGACACGCCCCTTCCACCCGCGGGACCGCCCCGAGCCCTCGCGCCTCTGCCGCACGCCGGAGCTGCGGCTGCTTGCGGCTTGCGGCCTTTGCGGGTCCACAGAAGCGTTCTGTTGCCTCTCACTCTCCCTCGCCGTCCGGTTCCTGGCCGGAGGTGTCTGGCGGGACCGAGAACCCGGAGAGGCGGCGAGGGAGCCCCTGAGCGCGGCCTCCGGGGGCGGGCAGCGGCGCAGTCTGAGGTAAATGCCTGGCCCGGCCGGTCGGACCCTCGCTGGGCCGGTTCCCGCCGCCGCCGCCGCCAGTGGGCAGGGCTTCTCCTCGCCCCGACCTCGGTCTCCGGTCGGCGGAACCGGGGCTGCCAGCCGGGCCGGCCCACCGCACGGGACTGCGGAGGAAGGTACGGGACGAGCTTCAGTGTCCCAAGGGCAGTAACTGCACCACCGTTTTTCCAGTACCCCGTATTTGTGAGCACTTGGGGCCGCCCCACCCCGCCCGGGGCCAGGCTGGGAGACCCTGGCCGCACGCGGCAACCCCGGGCTTCGGGGTCCGAGCCTGGCCAGCTCTGGCATAGCTTGAGCAAAGGGTCAAGGGATCCCATGCGCTTGCGTGGAGTGAATACGGCAAAACGCTGGGGCCCTGGGTCGGGGCTCGCACTCCCGACCATTGGGCCCGCCTCTCGGCTCTGCAGTCTGCAGTGGGTGTGCCCGCGTGGGCACTTTCCTGGGAGGGGGGGGCGCTTTAGATCCGCGGAGATGATCGGGGCAAGGCCCCTCTCGCAGTTCCCGCGGATCCAGAGAGTGCTGCCCCCTGAGGAGGCAAAGATCCACTTTTCAGCCCAACTGGGAATCGGAAAGGAGCAGCTTAACTCTGGTGAAGAAACCAGTCGGCCCAAGTCCTGGTTAAGCAACTTGCAAACCTCGTGACTCCAGGAAAGTTACTCAGACACTCTGACCTTCTGTGGCTTTATATGTAAAATAGGAATACGGCTACCTTGCAGGGTTGTTTAAAAGTAAGATAAAATGGAGGGAAGGGGGAAGTGTCCCCATGGCTTAGTTGGTTGAGCATCAGACTTCACCTCAGGTCTTGATCTTAGGATCTTCAGTTCAAGCCCGATGTCGGGCTCCCCACTGGGCGTAGAGCCTACTTAAAGTAAGATAAGCACGAAACGGTCTAAAAGTAGGTGCTGCAGACCAAATGGTTCAGATATTTTATGTAAATCAGTAACTCAACGAGTTTTGGCCATTGTTTTGATAAATGTTAACAGAGTTTGTAGTTATCTGATGGAGCTCCCTTTTCAGGAATGCAAACTTTGGCTGAGGCTTTTTGTATGTAAGGCTCTGAGATAAGGACAATACACAGAAAACAAAACCTAATACTTTTTCTTCATGGTTTAAGGTAGGGACAAACTTGTAAATACTTACAGATACAGCAGATTTAAATCTGTGGAAAAGGTATACATTATGCTATGGAATTCTGAGAAAGAGGTGATTTCTGGCCTAGAAAAGGAAATTGTTTGAGGCCCAAGAAAGAGGTCTCATAGCTAACTCAAAGTGCCTCAAAGGAAACTTGACCCACCCCCATCCCCAGGCCTCTTATCTCCTGTATGGTATTTCCTATTTTAGCTAATGGTCTCACTGCCCATTCATTTTGCCAAGCCTTTGAGAGTCATCCCCAACTCTTCCATGTTCTTTCCCTCCAAGGAAGCATCAAATTCTGCTAAATTTATCTCTTAAATTTTATTAAAATCCTTCCCCCTCCCACCTCATGCCTACAATCACATCATCTTTTGCTTGAATTGTTTTTAGCCTTCTAACCCTTGTACCTCTGATGTCTATCCTTAGTTGTTTTTCTAAAACTGATAACTTACCATCCTTTGTGCCCTCTCATTCAGTGTCTCCCTATCTGACCTTTCATCTGTTTCGTGAGCTCCTACTCATCCTGCAAGATGCAGCTCAAATATCACCTCCTCTGTAATGTCTTCTCTAATTGCTCCAGGAAGAGTGTAGATTTCACTCACCCTTTATGGATACCTCTGTTAGAGCATTTATCAAAAGCTGTTGTGTAATTATTTCTGAGCCCTGGGCAGGAACTGGGTCTGATCTGCTTCTGTATCTACAGGGCTCTGGCACTCAGTAAATGACTGTTGAAGGAATTAATTCTGATGGGATCAAGGACAGATTCATTAAGGTGGTGACATTTGAGCTGGACCTTGAAGCAGAAGTAGAAACTATTATTACTAGATAAATTGCTTAATCCATCTTTCCCTATTGTTCAGTGACAGGTCATTCACACTAGGCCATTACAAACCAGGGTTTCACAAATATGCAGTGCTAATGTGAGAAGGATAAAAAAAAAGTTGTATTTAAATTTTTATATTTACCTAATTTATTTTTCACTCTAAATATTAAGACGCCACTAGATCCTTCTATGGTAATCATTAAAAAAAGACTTTAAGCTCTGCCCTAGTTTCTTTTTGTAATACCCAGCCAAGCCCCAGAGGCTTGAATTGTATGCAGGTGTGCTAGAATAAGGGACTCCTCCTTGTTTTGAAGACCATCTCGTTTTGTGGCAACATGGTGTGGTTTATGGATATATAATCATTTGAGTGTATACAAACATGAACAGGAGGAATAGAATATACCACAACCTTAATATAGTGGTTATTTCTGGAGAATGAGGTAGAGGAGTGGGCATCATTTGCTGATATATAATATTTTAATTCTTTTTTTAAATAGATACAAAACATTAAAGTGCCATTTCCTGTCAAAAAAGATTTGAAGCGGGGCGCCTGGGTGGCTCAGTGGGTTAAAGCCTCTGCCTTCGGCTCAGGTCATGGTCCCAGGGTCCTGGGATCGAGCCCCGCATCGAGCTCTCTGCTCAGCGGGAAGCCTGCTTCCTCCTCTCTCCCTGCCTGCCTCTCTGCCTACTCGTGATCTCTGTCTGTCAAAGAAATAAAATCTTTAAAAAAAAAAAAAAAAAGATTTGAAGCATATGATGTTAACATTTTAAAAATCTGGGTATTTGTTGTTAGGCTTTTCTTTACATTTGAAATATTTTATAAAAAATTATAGAAAAGAGAGCTTTAGACCGAGTCAGGAAATCTAGTTTAGTCTGGGTTCAACCTTTATCTCAGCTTTCCTGTTTTAAGAAAGATTGGTGAGGGGAAGAGGCTGGAAAGACCGTTTATAGAGATAAACTAAGCCTTTCCTAATTCTAACAAAATATGATTCAAATAATCTAGTCATATATAAATTCCTCTGTTAACATGCTTATTTGTGACAAAAGAGTTTCATTATAGAAACTGATTTTATAGATAGAGTTCATTTGTTAGAAATGTACTAGTGTCTGTTCTTAGGTGTTATTTTTTAAATTCACAGTGTGTGTTAATCTTGATTAAGGAAAGTGTTTACTATGGGCTCTGCTCATCACATTTGAAGAACTAAAATTTTATGATAATCATTGCTGAGTAGTCCTTGAAAGGGCTATGACACAGAGATCCCACCTGTACTTTTTTCTCCTTCGAGCGAGAGGGCTGCTTATTACCATCATTTAGCACTTTACAATGCACACAAGCTTTTGCCTCTTTTTGTCCCATTTCATCCTCCCAGTAATACTGTGAACTATGGGGCAGGGTTCTTGGTATTTGTCAGATTTCCAAGTTAAACATAACACTTATTGGAAATGAAAATAGAGGAGCCAGTATTTCACTGATAGTCACAGGGGAAAGATCTGAGGTGAACTGATTTCTAAGGAACTTTATAAAAGTCCAATTGCTGTCTTTATGATGTTTCTTAGCTCAGAAGTCACATTTCTTTATTTGCTAGGGCTCATTTTATCATCATCATTATTATTACTCTTATGTATATGGAAGAGTTTTGGGATGGTGTACCCAGCCTGACTGAGAATGGATTTTGTAGCCGAGAAGAGCCAACCAGCTAAAATGGTGACTTTGTCTGCCAATGGTGAAGTTTCTTTGCCTTTTAGTGGCCTGAATGTTTTAACTTTTGTTTCGCTTTATCCCTTGTGTTGCTTGCTTCTCCTGATGACGAGGCATGTTCTTCCCTTCAAGGCCTTCTTTACTCATTAAACTTGTATAATACACCTTAATGTTAGTTGACCGACACTAAAAATGCACTGATCGACTCCAGTCTAGTAAGGTCCTCTTCAAACCCTGCAGAAGGAACCTCTGATACTGTAAGTGTCAGGCATAGGAGAGGCCCTAAAAGAGATATTTAGATCAGGAAGCCCCCCCTCAGATAACATCACTGAACAGCCTCAATTTTTTTTCTGGAATATGGCTTATCTGATGCATTCCTATTGCTACTTGTACATTCCTTGTACCAGGCTCTCATCATTTCTTACATTACTTCAACCAACTCATAATTAGTCTTTCTGCCTCCCAATTTCAAATTCCCCCTTGGCCTTGGTTCCCAGGTTGATCTGTTCTTCAATGACAGTCCATTAGTTTAGTCTGAAGTCCAACAGTGTATGGAATAAGGCCCTCTGATTGGACCTCATTTTATGCTATCACTCTTCTCTGCCCTGCTTTGGGCTCTAGAATTGTCCAACTGCTTCTGGTTGTACAAACATTAGATACCATTTCACACCTGTGTCTTTGCTGAGTTCCTTCTTTACTTAGATAGTTCTTATCCAAACCTTAAATTCAAGTCTCTTCAATAAAGCCTTTCCTGGCTCCTCAGGCTTATGTAAATTCCCACTTCTGTGTTGCCAAAATAATTTGTGAAGTTTCTTGAGGATAGAGGTATGACATGTCTTTGAATCTACAGAAATTTGCATATAACTGGAGCTCAATAAATGATTGTTGAACCAAATCGAACACCATGTCAGTACTTATAAATGTTTGTAGTCACTTGATGAATTCTTTTT